AAGGCCTTCAAAATTGACGACAACCATGAAAGCATTTTTAAAAATCTTTTGCGTGCATGGAATGACCCAGGCCGGCTGTGTGTTACAGATATTGAAAGGAAATGTTTATATCAGCTACTACCTTGTGTTTACTCTAAGAAAAGGTATATCTTTGTTTATTTAGGCTTTTGTCAGTCTGTGTATCAATATCAGCTAACTTTTATAATTAATACTAGCAGACTGTTGGATGAAGAAACAGAAACAGTTAAGCGGACAAGAACAAGGAGAAAAGACAAAGGCAGAAGCAGTAAATAAAAGAAAGGCTATTCTTTATGGCTTCGCTTAAAAACCACCGAATCATTTGGATCTCTTATCAATAACTTCTGGTTATCCTCATTCGGTCTCCTTTTAGATGACCGTTACTAGAGAAATTAACTCATGAATAAAGCTAATCAAATATCTCTTTTGAAGCTATCATGTTTGAACATTCTACATTTCAGAAGTAAGGCAAAAAAACGAGAAGTCAAAGTATAAAGTTTCAAAAAATAAAAATTATATATGGGAGTACCCGTATATGGAAAATTATAATTATAACGGTTCTAGTGATCCTAACTGGTTAGGTCTTAACCGGTTAACCGCTTAAAAAGTTTCAACCGGTTAGGGTTTTTCTCAAAGCGGTTAATTGCGGTCAAGTACTACCTTCCATATTTAGAAATAAGATAATTACTCATTGTGTCATGCAAGAAAATCTGTCATGTCAATAATATCTTTGGAAAAATGCCCGCAAAAAGAAAGCCAGTCTTTGAAGCTCTTAAGCTACGAACCATATAGTGAAAAATTTAAAAAAAATACCAGGAATAGTACAAGTATATTTGATGAAGTTATTGAAGAAATATGAAGAAATTATTAAAATTTAATGGTCAAGTTAATGATGAACCAGCTTGGATATTGCTTGACAGTGAAGCTTTAAGAAACTTTATAGATAAAAGATTTATACAAAAGAATAAAGTAAAGATATAGAAAATCAACTCTGTAACTGTTAAACTCACAGATGATAAAAAGCTCATAATTATTATTATGATTAAGATTAATAAATTAAAGTTTAATATTGTTATCATTTTTGATATCTCTTAAAAAGATTATTTTGTGATAGGTTAATAACTTTATATATAATATTTGTCTAGAATAATATATAATAAAGGTATTATTAATTATGGGTGGGAGAGATTAATATAATCATAAATATAATGTAATAGATATTAGATTATGATTATAACAAGATTAAAGATAGGTAACAAGGATGTGTTCATGACGTGATTAGCTAGAATATGACCTGGGATTATAATATAAGAAATGTATGATAATAAATAAGACATTATTAATAAAGGTTATTAATTTATAATATTATTATATTTAAATTATTATTATTTAATTTATTAATTTATTCATTAATTATTAATTTATTTTATTTATTTTTATTAATTTTATTAATTAACTTTTTTGATTTCTAATTAAGATACATTACTTTTATATATTTTAGAGGTTTTACAAATAATACTTTTATTATGATCTAAATGCTACTTTTGCTAGTGTCATAATATCAGTTTTATTATGATAATATTACTAGTTTTGCTATAATAATTTTGCTATGATAGTTTTACTAATTTTGCTATGATAATTTTGTTATAAACATTATGCTTATAAAACTATCTAAAAATATCTATCAATAATATTATCTTAATTATTATTCAATAAAATATAATTAAATAATTATCCAATAAAAATATGAGTATAAAATAACTAATATTAACAAATTATATATAAAAATTTATATTATAATAGTTTCTGAATTCTTAAATATTTTACTTTATAAAATGAAAATAATAAAAAAAAATATATGAAGTTTGTCTTTTTGCTAATATTTCAAACCATTATTTTTTTTATGTCAGGTTTATATAAAAATAAATAATAATATTACATATAATCTATAGTCAACTTTGTGATGGATATTACAAATTATTACTATTATATGCAGTAATAGAAGAATTGAAAGATCTTGCAAAATGCCAAATTATAAACTTCAATAATAATATAATTAATCTTTCTAACTTGAACTTGCTTGGATGAGATAAAGATAAAGATCCAGATACTTGTTCTGTTAGATAAGTAAAGAGTAAAAATATATAAAGAAAGTATTCTTTTATAAAGAAAAAAGATATGATAAGAGTTTGATAATTAACATTTATAGATAAATAAAAGAATAATTTTGGAAAAATACACATGTAAACTTGAATTATTTAACTGGAAATAAACAAATAAACAAAATAAATAATTTTAAAAATTTTAAAAATATTAAAAATTTTAAAAAAATAACTCAATTTTAATTAGACTTATTGATATAGCTAACTTTGTGCTATCTTTAATTGATGCATCTGCATATTAAACTTTTTTGATTGAACTTATTGTTATGGTCAACTTTGTATTATCTCTAATTAGCACATTTATATATTAAACTAAAAATTAAAAACTAAAAATCTTTAAAAACTTTGAAAAATTTAATACTTAAAACTAAAAAATCTTCAAAAATACTAGAAATATTTGGCTGTCTCCAAAGTCTAAGTTAAAAAAATAATATTTGTATTATCTCAAAAATAATTCTTAATTAAAATAATTCAAAAATATGTAATATAATTCTAAAATTATAACATAATTTCTTAATATTTGTTATCTTATTAATAGTTGATATTAATTGAGTTTTTACATCCATTAAAGAGTTCACATTAATAACAAATTACTTCATTAATAAAAAATTTGTTGTGATCTACTTATTATTCCCTTAAGAAAATAATTTTTCTCTAAAAAATTTGAGTTTAATACTAATTATAATTTCATGTAAATATTTGATATGATCTTTATAACTCTCAATTTATTTATGTCATCCCTGAATTCTATTTTCAGATTTTCAGGTGACAGATCTATATTATTGTTATACTAAGCCATATTTTGATTATTAAATCAAGTATTATCATTATCTTCTTTATCTTCTTATAAGAGACATAAAGAGAATTTTTCTTAATTAAATCTCTTTTTTCATAGTTTCATTTCAATTTCTGTATATTATTAGTTAATTGATACAGATTTTATTATTATTATTATTATTATTATAATAGTTATTGTCTCTTTTCTTTTTCTCTTTATTTTATTTATGTTTTGCAAATCTACTTTTTTTTACATAAAAATTATTATTTTTTATTGTTCAGAAGTTTACTATATTATGAGAAGAGCATTGGGAATCTGTTATATCATTTTCTTGCTTTGTTAAGTTATTTGGATAGCTTTATTGCTTTTATTTTTCTTCTATTAAGTTATTATTTACTTTATATAACAGTCACATGATTTATTATAAGTAAAAATTAAGTATATTATATTGATCAATTTAAAAAAATTGATTAATCATACATGTGAATTTTTGTCCAAAGTCTTAGCCAAAACATATTAAGTTCCTTAAAACAAAATTGTTATTGAGATTTTTATGAACAGAATAGTACAAAGATTATGAAAAACTAATATTTTCTTGTAAAGTGAAATGTTTTTGAAATTGATATCTATTTTGTCTTTTTTGCTAGATTATTCTTCAGTTCACAAATTCTTATCATAAAAAGTAATTTATCAAATATGCCTAAACAAGAATCATCTATAAAGTTTTATCTCAAGGGGTTGGTACATTACAAATATGTGGAAGAAAATTAGGAAAAGCTGTTTCATAATATAATATAGATAATAGCATTTCTTTTAATTAATAAAAATTTTTTTATGATTATTAGAATATCAAACACGAGTTGAAATATATGCAAGATTTAAAATTTCTTATCCATTTAGATTGTTATTCTTAGCTGGTACTTCAAGATTTAACTGAATAAAAAGAAGATAATATAGAAGTTATAATGATAATTTGCTTTGGATTATATAGATTCTAACACAATATTTAATTCAGATTCATCTCAAAGTATATTTATACATATCTTTTTTGATTTCTTATATCAGTTATACTATCAATCTCACTTGCTTTGATATCTAATAATCAGTATATTATGATAACTTTTCCATCAGCTCATTGACAACTTCTTTAAATAATATAGTAAAGTCTTTGTATACTTCAAGCTATTTCAGATAGTATTTTTCAACCATTATAGATTTATATTTTGTTAGATATAATGTTTAAAGTATAGATTCAGAAGACAGATCAATTCCAGATAATAATATTGATTACAAGTCTTCTTTATTGATTTTTTCAATTTTCATATTAATTAATTCTGAATTAATTTCTTTAACTTCTATATTAATTAGTTCTGGAGCTCATACAGAACTGCTATCTCTTACTTTTACTCTTCTTTCTGATATATAGTCAGTCTTCTTCTTTTTTATCAGCTTCATAAGTATCAGATCTTATCTATCTCATCCTGCTTTTACTTGAGAAACAGTATGATAAATATCTTACTCAATAATAGTAGTTATTCTTTTAATTTTTAATTTATAGCAAATAAATATTTGTTAAAAATCAATATCTATTAATTACGTAGCTTCTACAAATAAAAGATGTAATTCTGGCTATAAGCTACTAAATCCTACTTTGAGTTTAGTAATTAATTTTCAAAGAGCTTTTTGATGATTCTTAATAGATTATGAACTTCTACTTACTAACTGATCTCTAGCAAATTCTAAAATTAATAAGTTAAGTCAGTCATACTTTACTTGTGTCACTTTGATATTCTACTTTAGATTCTCTAAATTAGTTATCTATCTAGTTATATTTTTCTTTATGAACTTCACTCTGAATATTTCCAAAGTCTCATTAAAAGTAAAATAATATTTTTTACATGTCAAATTGATTGAAAGCACTATCTGAAGAGCTTGAAGAAATTCTGACTTGCTTTAAAAATCTGATAAAAATTGTGTTACAGATGCAACATATCTTCTTTTTTCTATTATAGGAAATAAAGGAGCAAATATCATCAAGCTATGTATTTGCAAATCAAAGTTTGTCATGCAAATATTAAGCTTATGCAATTTTAAGTATCCTGCCCATTAGTAAAAGTTATATTATACTTTAAGCAGATTATTATTTATTGTAAGAATATTACTAATAAAAATATTCTCTTCCTGAATATATAGATAGATCACAATTCCAACTGCTACTCAAATAAGTTCAAGTACTTAAAATATTATCTGATAATCAGCAACTTGTTCAAGTCTATCAAGAAATTAAACATCAAGCTGTATGGCAAGTCCAAAAAGTTTATAACCAGAAAAGATAGCAATTAGTATACTGCACATTAACTTATTAGT